TTTTTGAGACAGGGTCTTTCTACATAGTTCAGGCCAGTCTAAAACTATGTAATCCAGGCTGGCCTTGAACTCTCAGCGATCCACCTTAGTGGTGGGATTAAAGGCATGTGCCATCATGCCAACTCCTCACTGTTGCTAGGCTATTTTACCAAGGACCTCAGTTCCTCCCTGGCTGTTTGCTGGCTGAAGGATGCCCCTCGGCTCCTTGCTGTATACAGACCTCTCCATCAGCAGTTCACAGAACAATAGGTTGCTGAATACACACATAAAAAGATGGCAAGAAGACAGAAGCCAGTCTTTCAGAATCTAATTGTTGAAGTGACATCTCACCACTTTTGCTGTGTTCTATTCTTTAGGAACAAGTCATTATGTCCAGCCTTTACTCAAGGGGAGGTCATAGAAGGACATGCATTCTAGAAGGCAAGGATCAGAAGCTGGTTCAAAATTTTTTGCCTCCAGTGTTTTCTTATTGTTTGTTTTTTTATCTTTCTGGAATTGCTACTGGATGTTTTCAATTATAGTATTACCCTCCTTTTCTGTCCCCCCCCCATTGGTACCGAGGATCAAACTTAGGACCTCTTGCCACTGAGCTACATCCTCAGCCCAAACTTTTCTTTCTTTTTGGTACCAGGAATTAAACTCAGGGCCTTGCGCTTACCAGGCAGGCACTGTGCTGCTGAGCTACATCCTTGGTCCTCTGGTTTTTTTTTTTTTTTGGCAGTACTTGAGATTGAATCCAAGGTTTTGTGCATGCCAGGCAAGTTCTACCACCAAGCTAGTCCTTTTCATTTTTTTGAGAAAGCAGGTATTCAGACTGGCTTCAAACTTGCAAATCTCCTGCCTCAAGACTCAAGAGTAGCTGGGATTACAGTTGTTCCAACTCTAAGACAAGGAAACCCACTCTGCCATTTATGTGTTCAATTATTATATTTTCACATTGTTTTGGTTATCTTGTAATTATTATTATTTTGTACCGGGGATCAAACTCAGGACTTTGCACATGAGTCAGGCAAATAAATGGAAGCCACTGAGCTAAATCTCCAGCCCTTAATATTTTTTTTTCTTGACAGTGTCTAGCTATGTATTTCAGGCTGGCCTCAAACTCACAGTGATCCTCCTGCCTCAGCCTCCCCAATGCTGGGATCACAGATGTGCACTACCACACCTGGCTTTATCTTTGATTATTCTTGTTCCATATTGTTATTGTTTTCTCCTGTGTCCTTAGTATTTATTATGCCATCTTTTTTATTTATTTATTTATTTTTGGTACTGTGGATGAAACTTTGTACCTTGCACTTGCGAGGTAAGTGGCAGTACACAGAGCTAAATCCCCAGCCCTATTATGCCATCTTTAAATTACTGGCTGTCTTTCTGAAAGTATTTCTGCTTCAGAAGGTGTATTCACTTTTCCTTTTGAGGCAGTTTTCAGGTATACCCCTACACTGGCATATGAGTTTAAAATTCCCCTGGGATCTAAGCTGTAAGTCTGGGAAGGTACACAGGATAACAGCCAAAGACTACACCAACAACTTGAGGGGAGATGACAAACTGGAGTGAAGAGTCCCAGGAACCATAAATCTATATGCTTGTAGCCCCATTCAGTGTCATCTTCTAAGACTGTATCTTATTCCAAAGCTCTACCATTATTCTCGTCAACTCACTAGACAGTTGCACTGACCTAAACTTATCCCTGTGGACACTTGTACCAGGATTCTGGTATGTGGCCTTCATTTCTATAGTATGGATGTCAGCTGTGCTTGCCCAATGGCAAGTGTTCTCCTTTTTTCTGTAAAGGTCAGACATTAATTATTTTTGGCTTTTCAGGCCATCACATCTATTTCAACTACTCAACTCTAGTCTTTGTAGTTCAAAATATGGCTGATCTCCAATAAAACAATTCTGAAAACAGGGACATGGTACCTCAGTTCATAAACTCAATTCTCTCCATGATTCTGGTGGAACTAGATGAGAACCGAATAAATTTTATCCATAAAGTCAACACTGAACCTAACCATTGAATCTGATTCAGTTCTTGTCCAACTTGCTTTGCAACCAGAATCATGGAATTAAGTTTGTGAACTGAGGTACTACTGTAGCAGGCTATATTTGGTCTAAGGGCCACAGTTTTCCACCCCTGTCTCAAGGCAAAGGTATGGTTAGAAGCGATGAGGCAAAAAACAGAACTTAAACTTGTCATGGTGGAATATACCTGAAATCCAAGCACTTTAGGAAGTTGAGGCAGAAGGACTGAGTTCAAGCCCAACCTGGGCAACTTAGCAAGACCTTGTCACAAAAACCAACTAACCTGGTGGGTAGGGAGGGTGTTGCTCAGTGTAAGGCCCTAAGTTTAATCCCCACTATCTCACACACACACACACACACACACACACACACACAGACATACACAAAACTTTTCTTAATAAGTAATTCTCACAGGGGGACAATTTTTATCATTGTACAAACATCACAGAGTATACTTAACACAAAACTAGATGGTATAGCCTACTAAACATATAGCTGTATGGTATATATGTATGCTGCCATCTATTTCTCCTAGAGCAGTGATGGCAAATGTTTTAGAGACCAAGTGCCCAAACTACAATCTCAAACCAACTTATTTATCACAAAGTGTCAATACTGCAATTAAATCTGAAAACTGAGGTTTTAGTTGAGAAAAAAACCACTCATGCACTTGGCTTGCACGCCAAAAAAGAGGGCTGTGTGTATCCACTGTGGCATAAATGCCATAGGTTTGCCACTGCCACCCTAGAACCACATGGATAGAATGGTATAAAATTTAATCAAACACAAGAATATACAACCATGAGATGCGATAAACATGGGCCGTATGAGGTTGCTGCTGGAGTAACATGTCAGTTTCACAGTAACCTTTTTATTTTTAATAAGTAGGGATACACTCCAAAAATAATGATAAAGGTATAGTAAATAAGCAAGCAATGTGGTAAATCAAGTATTATGCACTGTACATAGTTGTGCTGTACTTTTATATTATGGAAGCCTAGCAAGTTTGTTCACACCAGCATTACCACAGATAAGTAAAGGATGTGTTGTTGGGTTACAATGTTATGGCATCACTTGCTGAGTTTTTTTTTTTTTTTTAGCTGTTACAATCAGATGAGAACACCATCATATATATGGTCTATGATCAACAAAAATGTCAGTATGTGGCTCATGACTGAATATTCTATTACTTCCTCTACCAGGCTGTTCAAGTTTCAGCCACTCTTCTCTTCTCCCAATAAGTGAAAAAAGTCTTCTAACTCAGCAGGGTTTTTTTTAAAACATCTGTTCATGTTTGTTATTTTTCTAAGTTCCATGTTCTCTTTGTAGTTCTACAGACGAAGGAAGAAGAATATGCTAATTCAACACCTTGGCAGGAAATGGAACCAAAATCAGTAACTGTTTTCTTTCATGTTTTATTTATATATTTTTGTCAGCAAAACTGTGTTTCTTTAATCTGGACTATGAACACACTTCACTGCTTCCATCGAGGAACCCCAAGCCAAACTAAAAAGGCCAATATTAAAAGAAGCATACTGGTTACTTTAAGAAACATAAAAAGAATCAGATGCAATAGTGCAGGAAGACGATCACATCCTTTTCAGAAATCACAACTTCTTCCAAATAAAGAATGTGATTCATTTGCCATATTGAATCAGTATTTATTTCAGGACATGCCATGTCAAAATAAAACAAAAGAGTCAATCCTTGCTTTTAACAATAATATTGTATTATAAAAGCACTTTACAACTCCACCCCATCTTTGAGTATAAGTTACAGGTATGTGGGCTAATGATTATCTGAAAGCCTTTTTCTCTCTTCAGATCCATAATCCAAGTGCTCTCTGAATATTACATGGTGACAACAGCGAAAGGTGGAGGAGGAAGAAGAGAAATAAGTAAGATTTCCCCAGTTAAGGGTTCTGTTGCAATGAGGACATGAGGAAGTATGAAGTTATTTCTGCTGTCTTTTCATCTTTACACTGTGTTAAGTAATGCTTACGACATAAATTCAGCAGGCTTTTTCTGAGCTTTAACTCGAGAAATTTTCTCCCTGCAAACAATGTATTTACAAATGTGTTTATTAACTTACACAGCAATCTCACAATAACTAGTAAAGATTAAAAGGGTGCACTCCTAGTATATTTGTTTGCAGTATTTTAAGGGAGATACATATTGCCATGGTGATGAAGCTCTAAACAGAGTCAACAAAACATCTAAAATTTGAGTTTAACAAAAAGCAAAGAAATAAATATCACCAAAAACAAGATTAATTGTAGCTTAAATATAAAACTAAATCGCTAATTAACCAAACTATACATATCTAATAAAAAGCAAAACCAGCCTGAAAGACCCAAAATTTAAAAAATGCTAAAAAATAAGGCATAAATCTGAATAATATTGACTTATATTTCCTTTTCCTTATATTTCTTTCCTTTTCCTCTTCAATACTTGCTTTTCCTGATCTCCCTCTGTAGTGATGGCAAATCTTTTAGAGTTTTCAATGATATGAACAGCCTGCTGCAGCATGTGTACCATAAGTTCACCACCACTCTAGGGGCTTATTTCCATCTTCAATTTGATCTCAAATGTCCAAAGCAAGAGTATTTGCTATTTTACAAAGGTTCTATGTTGGTAAGCTCTATATATCATTTTTTAAAGCTATAATAGTTTTGACTGTGGTGCCAAATTTAAACTCTTCCATTAGTTCTTCTTAAAGAATTTGACTTTTCCAAGGTATTCCTTGCACAGCATTTAAAAGAAGAAAAAAGAAAAGTAAATATAAGCAAAATTTATTGCTCAATAAGATTAAAAAAACAGAATAACTGCACAATCTTAAAATCTTGGGAGAAATAGTTCATTAGAACTTAATGATTTTATCATGAAGAATTAACTGGTTACTTCTGTCTCCCAGATTCTAATAAAGTACATGTGAAAGGGTCATTTGTTTTGGTCAGAAATACATTTTTATACTCTACTTGTGAGTACTCAGTATGTTCACGAGGACTCATTTTCAAGATACAGCATAACCCTTTCCTCATTCAGGCACTGCCCACCATGATAGCTAAGTTTTGATTCAAAGAAGGCTAAGTAATTTATATCAGTGCTCAAGAATATTTTTGGACATCTTGGCCTATTGCTACTTGCCACTTTATTTTGTGGTAGGGTAGGAATAGGAAATGAGGGTAAGGAAGAAGTGAGAAAAGTAGTAAGAGACCAAACAGGTAGGCAAAAGCTGTGAATATACTGCACCTTAACCAAGCCACACATACTGCCAACATTTCCATCATTTTAAAGTATGTTATCGTAACATTAAAAAAGGAAAAATGTTAAGAAAATGTATCTAATCTTCAGTTATCACTGGAATCTTTTGGCTTTTTGTAAAATATAAATAATGAAGACACTGACTTTTTTGTGCTTGTGAAGCTAATAGATCATCTCCACGAGACAGGCAGCAATGATGAATTGCAATATGTTATTATTGAAGGGAAAAGGTTCAAGCCAATATTCACACAGCAGTCAATGAAAGAGTACAGGGGCCAAAGCAGTGAGCTTCTGGAGAAGGGCTGAAGATGCTATGGGGGATTAGCAGGAACAGCCTCCTTCAGTGACTGGTTGCTCTTGAGGCTTTTCCAGCTTTATGTCAATCACTGAAACAAAAGTTAAGGAGCCATGAACAAAGTACAATTCAGGTTCTGCTAAACTCTGTCAGCTCTGGAAAGCCTCTTATATTCCTATCAGACTTCAGAGCCTACATACTCACTGTTTTCTATGTAGCTACCTCACCTTACAAGATGCTCAAGTGGCATAAACTTGTATATACAACAAGGATCCAAATAAGATGTAAGCCCTATTCACGGCAATCTATTCTGAGGAAGTTATTCTACAGCATCAAAGAGACCATATGAAGACAATATTCTTTAGAGAATTATCTATAAAAAAGTTGACAATAGCCTACAAGAGTTCTAATAATGGGAAAACTTTAACAAATGATGGCACTTAAGCTCTATAGAATACATTATGCCAGTAAAAGTAATAAAACTCTGGAAATACAGTGGTGCTTTGGACCACAAACTTGATCCTTTTCACAATTCTGGTCACAAACCAAGTTGGCAGAGAATCAAATCAAATTTAATGGTTAGGTTCACTGTTGACCTTATAGGGAAATTGGATTCAGTTCTCATCCAGTTCAGTTTGCAACCAGAATAATGGAGAGAATTGAATTCATGAAACAAGTACCACTGTATAAAATATTTAGAAGTGAGAAAAGGTAAATATAAAGTATTACAAACTCTATGGCTCTCTGCAAATGGAAAAATGTTAGAAGGCAAATATAAAACAAAAGAACATCAAAACTCAAAATCCTTAGAAATAATTATTACATATGCCTCATTATGTACTGTTTCTGAAAGTGGAGGCCAAGATAATGCTCAATTCTTTCTTTCTTTTTTTTTTTTTTTTGAGACAGGGTCTCACTATGTAGTTGAGACTAACCTCCTGGAACTCACTATGTAGCCCAGGCTCGTCTCGAACTCATAGCGGTCCTCCTGCCTCACAGCCTCCTGAGTGCTGGGATTACAGGTGTGCACCACCACGCCCAGCTGATATTGCTCAATTGTGAGTTAGTTCTTTTACCTATGCCAAGAAAAAAGCTCAAATGTTAGAAAAAGTATGAAAAGAAAATATGACATACTGTGGGGGAAAAGCCTAGAGCTAATAGGATTCTGAAGGAAGTAGCAGAAGACTGGGACTTCTCAGTTTCCTAGTCATTAAAAAACAAGCAAGCAGGATGGGCGTGTTGGTGCACGCATGTAATCCCAGCACTTGGGAGGCTGAGGCAGGAGGATCGCTATGAGTTTGAGACCAGCCTGGGTTCCAGAGCAGTCTGAACTACATAGTGACCATCTCAAAAAAACAAACAAAAAACCAAAAAGCAAGCAGTCTGACTACATTGAATAGCAGGCTGCAAAGAGTGCACTTGGGTAAGATCTCATTTGTTACCAAAACCTCTGCTTTTCTGTGTACCTAAGCCATCAATTCCTGGCTGTAAAAGAAAATGACACAATATTCCTCAGCCAACTAAATAGGGCTCTAAAGACTTGTATTAACAATAAATTTTCTGAAGAAATAAAAAGGATACTGTCTTCTCTGCTTCTGTCCTGTGTGCTTTCCATTCCAGGCAAAGCTGCTGCTACACGCCGGAAGAGCTGTGGAGAGATACGGCATGAAGGTGAATGACCATTGGGCAAAGAGTTAGAGATACGGTTTTTGGGGTTACTCCTTAGACTTTAACATCATTAAGGTATATTAAAATATGTATTCACTTTATAAGTGAGTATCATGAAAAGCACACCAAATATAAAGAATGAATACAGATATGACTTCTGCTTTCCAACTGGTAAGACAAGACCTGAACAGTCAGCAATGAAATAAGCAGCAAATATGTCACTTGAATCATAAAAATGAAGCACTACAGAAACTGAGAAAGGACCGATAGTTCATTTAGTAAAACAGTACAGTAGCATTTCTATCTTTCATAAAGGACTAGGCTTCAGTGTATTATATACAGTGAAAAGCAGTCTAGTCAGTTATCCTTGATAATTACTTAGAAAAGCACTGTGTTAGCAATCAGCAAAAGACCTCTCAAGCCCAACACAGCTGGCCTTTTCTCTACCATCTTAGCAAGTAGTTGTGTGTTTGAGGTACGATGTTATAAAAAATACCTTCAACAGGAGAAATACCCAATCCTGGTGAGGTATTTGAGGCATGTGGGAACAGACAGTGACTTAAGGAACAAAAGATTTATACCTCTTATAATGTGCTCAGTCATAGACATAAACTCTTTAAATACAATCAACGATTTCTCTCTTAGCATATAGTGTAGAACTGCACAAGTTAAATGCTTATGTAATGAAGTAACTGCTAACTTAACGCAGTATTCTCAGGCTCTTCAGGGATACAGAAACAAAGAAAACGGTTTTCAAATTTAAGAGCTCTCAATCAGGCAAAGGAGATAGACTCAAACAATTCCTTATGTCACAATGTGATGAGTTACTATGAAACAAGGAAGTAGAAAATATGAGAATATAGATGTAAGAAAACCTCAGGAGAGAGGGAAAAATCTTTAGGAGGTGATGTCCTTATTGGGATTTACAGTCAGTTTAAAATATGTGGCTGAAAATCATACTGCATAAAATATTCCATTAATGTTGCTTAAATTGAGAAAGAACACAATGAATGTAAAACCGGAGATAAGGAACTAGAACTGTATGCAATATTTCACAAAAGATGTATACAAATGCAGCCCAGGCAGTGGTTCTGCCACCTGCCTCACAAGAGCAAGGTCCCAAGTTCAATCCCCAGAACCAAAAAAAAAAAGAAAGAAAAAAGAAGAAAAGTATACAGATGGAGCAAATTATAAAATTTTGATTTGTAGAACGGTAGCCAGCAGGCATAAGACTCGAAAAAAACTGTAATTTTTGACATGTGCCAATGTTAGCCTCAATACTTAACCCAAATCAATTATTAGATCTGCATTATAGAATGCTTACCTTAACATTATTTCTGGTATACCAGATACTGTACATAGTCAAAGATCATATAGCTTTTATAAATTACCAGAATTGCAAAACCAATATAATGTTAATTATAAAAGGTGGGTCAATTAGGATTAATGTAAGAATATCCAGATTCAAATATACACATTCTAGGGCCTGGGATTTAGCTCAGTGGTTTCACCACCTGCCTTGCAAACACAAGGTCCTGAGTTTAATCCCCATTACCAGAAAAAAAAAAAAAAAAAAAATCTAGACATAAGACTAAATGCCAAGGAAAATATACTTTATAGAAAAAGCAAGTCCAGGCATGGTGGTACACCCCTGAAATTCTAGCACTTCAGAGGCTGAGGCAGGAGGATCATCGTGAGTTTGATGCCAGTTTGGACTACATGGCAAGACAATCTAAAACAAAAACAGGCTGGGGAACTGGGGATTTAGCTCAGTTCCACCAATGCCTGCCTTAAGCACAAGGTCCCAAGTTCCATCGCCACTATGAGAAAGAAAAAAAAAAGGCCAAAAAAAAGTTTTCCTGGGCCCCGGATTTAGCTCAATAGTACTGCCGTCTGCCTGAAAAGTACAAGGGCCCAAGTTCAATTCCTGGTACCAAAAAAAGAAAAGAAAAGAAGCCAGGCATGGTGGCAAATGCCTGTAATCCCAGCATTCGGGAGGCTGAGGCAGGAGGATCGCTGTGAGTTCAAGACCAGCCTGGGCTACATAGTGAGTTCCAGGTCAGTTTCTCTCAATTACATAGTGAGATCCTGTCTCAAAAAACCCATAAAACCCAAACAACAACAACCACAAAAAAAAAAAAAAAGGAAAAAAAAGTTCCCATTAACATTAGATAAAAAAAAAAAAAACTACTATGTAGCACTGCAAACAGTAAACAGTAGCAGCAGTATTATGACTGACAATGGGGTTCCTCTATCAGTGTTACTAGAATTAAGTTTTAAATTTATTTCTATATCCCAGAAATTCATTTTATCTAGTGATACTTAGTTTTGGCCTCAATTATTTTAACACTGACCATCTAGCCAAAATGTCTGTTCAGCACATTTCTGATTGTAGGAGAGATGAGGGCAAGGCTAAAGAGGTGGCATTTTTGAAAAAAAATTCAAGGAATAGACAACCCATAAAAATAGTGTAACATACAGTTACTACTTCAAATCTGCAAGTCATTTTCCCATATGACAGAAATATATGCATTCTATATAACTGATCAATAACAGGTGCAAGGGGAAGATTTTAACCTATTACTTTAAATGTACTTATTAACATAAGATTTGAATACTTTTTTTGTTTCATTCTTTAATTTGGTGGTTCCAGGACTTTTGCTTCCTTAATGAATTACATAAACTAACAAAAAACAGTCTCTAAATATTGAAATAAAATCTTAACTAATGAACTGTGGTACTGCCTATAAAATGAAAAATATGACTGATTTTTTTGAGTTAAGAAGGAAGCTACAGCTGGGTGTGGTAGTGCACTTCTGTAAGCCCAGCACTTGGGAGGCTGAGGCAGGCAGTTGCCATGTTGTTTGAGGCCAACCTGAACTACATAACAAGTCTAAAAAACAAAACATCAATCAAACGTGTGTGTGTGTGTGTGTGTGTGTGTGTGTGTGTATGATACTAAATTCAAGTCTCAATAGAATAAGGCACTTCAACAAAATCAGATTTTAGACATATATTGATAAGAAAAAACAATAATAAATGGGGTTTAAAGACTGTTTTGTAAAAAAAAAAAAAAAAATCTCCTTACCACTGATAGCTATATCTATCTGTATTGATCAGGTTTTGAGAAAAAAAGATGTGCCTACTGATGAAAATGTTCTACAAATGGACTGTAGTGATGGCTGTACAATTCTATAAATTTACTAAAATAACCGAATCACAAATTTAAAATAAGTGAGTTTTATGGTATAAGTTTAGTATTCCTTTATTTGAAATTCTCAGGACTAGAAGAGTTTCAGATTTTAGAATATTTGCATGTACATGATATATCTTGAGGATGGGACACAAGTCTAAACATGAAATTCATTCATGTTTCATATACTCCTTAAATGCATACATAGCCTGAAAGTAATTTAATGCTGTATTTTTAGTGCAACTATGTTTTGATTCAACCTGTCACATGAAGTCAAGTGTAGAATTTTCTACTTGTGGCTTGGAGTAGTTGATCAAAATATTTTGAATTCTGGAGAATTTCAGATTAGCATCTTTTTGGTTTTGTTTTCAGAAAGGTTTTACTACATAGTTCAGGCTGGCCTTGAACTCCCTATGAGTCCAGGCTGGCCTAGAACTCATGGCGAGCCTCCTGACTCAGCTTCCTGAGTGTTAGGATTACAGGCATGCTCCATTATGCCTGGCCAGGGTATACAAACTTTTGCTTCAATAGAGCTGTGCTTATAAAATAATAAATGACATGGTCTTTTACAACATCCTACTATTATCTAAATTTTGCAAGCAACTAAACATCATTAAGATAGTGGCCACCAGCAGTGCTATGTGCTAACTAGTTCTAGAGCTTCCAAACCTATAAGACTACTTAAGGTGAGAACTAAGGGGACCACAACAATACCTTCTTTAGGTAATAATACAGAACCAAAAAAAGATATCCTGTAGCAGTACATAAAAACAAGCTCATACTCATATCAAAATCTCCAGGAGGCGGAGATTTAGCTCAGTGGTGCCAGCGCCTGCCTTGCAAGTGCAAGGTTCCAAGTTTGATCCTTGGTACCAAAAAAAAAAAGTCTTCAGTAGAGAAAGCCACGTAAAGCTACCCACTGTTTTATCTTAGAATAGTGATATATGGTAATACTGCTGTAGATTATATTATTTAAAATCTGGAATTGTCTGTGGCTCTGATAGATTCAGCTACTTAACATTTACCATATTCCATTCATATTGTTAGGTTCTGGGAAACAAAGATATTTTGATGAAAGACAGATATTTTCAATATACTGTGGTAAGTTTAGTAACAGTGGTTTCATAGGAGTCAGAGGCATATGAAAACACAGAAGGGAGTCATTTATCACAGCTACAAGGTAGGGTGGGAAATGTCAGAAGATATAGGGCATCCTCCCTGCCTTAATGATTCAAGGCAAAGATGGATAGCAATGTGGCAAAAATGAGAACAATGTAGAGAAATTTTCACAAAGCTCTATTTAATTTGAAAGATTTTACTTTAACCTTCTATTGATTTATTTCAATTGAAAAAATTTGTCTGTCCTACAATCTGAGGCCATCACTGTACATGAATTAATAAGCCCTGCTGGATTAAGCATGAGAGTTTGGGGCTGACCCATCTTGTGGAAAACAGTTTGGTAACATGAAGTCTCCCCTTTTTCCTGCTCTCTTCCCCCTAAAGAACTCCTGCTCCAAACTATTTAAAGACCAGCAGTTCATTAAGGATAATTAGGAATAAAATAACCAAAATGTATTTTCATAATAAGCAAAACATTCACTACTGAAAAAAAAATTTGCTTTCATTTATCACAGTCTTAAAGTAGGGATGTACTGAAAATATAGTAAGTTTAAAATTTTGCAATCATAGGCCTGACAATGATAATGAAATAATTACCCTGGGCACAATCTGAGAAGTTTGGCAAGTCTTTCTTTTTCCCAAAATTATGGCACATTTATTTTTCATTATTTGAAAATACGTTGTTAGTTCATAAGGCCTGCTATTGCTACCTAAAAGCCAAACTTACACTAGAGAATAGAATACTCACAATTTTTTCATGTTTTCTTAATTTAGTAACATTAACTCATACTCAAAGGACACTTACCTGCTTTACATTGTAGCCTGCTTTTGCACTGGTTTCAATAAACATAACATTCAGCTCTTTGGCTTTTCTCTCTCCTTCCTCAATTGACACCTGCCTGTAGAAAAATTTTTAAAAAGATAAACAAATTCTTACTTTCAAAAGATGCTATTATAAAGGTTATAAACAAAGCTCTGAAAATAACGATATAGATGCTTGTTACACAGGCAAGAAAATTTATTAATCTGCAAGCACACTTAAAATTTGTACACTTCTTTAAGTTTACTTGACTGCAAACAAATAAAACCCTCACAAAACCAAAACTTAATAGCCTGTTTCTTTCCCTTTCAAAGCCAGGCATAGTGGCGCACACCTGTAATCCCAGTACTCGGGAGACCAAGGCAGGAGGATCACAATATCAAAATAAGCCTGGGCTGCAGAGTGAGTTCAAGGCCAACCAGGATTATATAAGTGAGATGCTATCTCAGAAAACCAAAATAAATAAAAATTTTCAAGCTATTGCAAATGGCATTATTTTCCTGATTTTTGGTAGGTTTATTACTGGGTGTGCAGGAACACTGGCAATTTTTTTTGAGACAACTGTCTCATGCAGTTCAGGCTGGCCTTGAAATCATAGTGATTCTCCTGCCTCAGCCTCCCAAGGGCTGGAATTACAGGTGTGCGCTACCATACCCAGCACTGGTGATTTTTGTGTCTTGGTTTTGTATCCTGCTACTTTACTGGATTTGTCTATTAGTTCTAACTGTTTTGGTGGAGTTGTTTGAATCTTTTAAATATAAAAGGATCATTCCATCTGCCAATAATGAGTTTGACTTCTTTTCCTCTATGCATCACTTTATTTCTCTTCCCTGATTGCTCTGGCTAAAGTTCCAAGCACTACAATTAATAAGAGTGATAAAAGTGGACACCCTTGTCTTGCTCCTGATTTTAGAAAAATTGCTTTCAGGTTTTCCCCATTTAGTGTGGACATGCTGGCAGTAGGTTTGTCATGAATGACTTTCACCAGTTTGAGATAAAAACTTTTATATTGATTTTCATCATTTTAAAAAAAATCATAAATGGATGCTAAATTTTGTCAAAGGCTTAGTCAAGTGGTCCACAAGTGAGCTACATCCCCAGCTTTTTTATCTTATTTTCAGACAGTGTCTCACTAGGTTGCCTAGGTTAGATTTGAACTTACGATCCTGCCTCAGCCTTCCAAGTAGCTAGAATTATAGCTATGTACCATAGTGCCTGGCTGAATTACACTTTTTTTTTTGGTACCGGGGATCAAACTCAGGACCTTGCACTTGCGAGGCAGGCAGTGCCTCTGAAATAAATTCCCAGCCCTAAACTACGTTTTTAAAGAGAAACTTTCTCAACTATTCAGTTATCCTGAGGTACTCATGAGAGAGGGTTGGGAGGATGAAAGAACAAATGTTCAAATCAGTCTCCAGTATTTTCCAAAAATAACCAATTAGTTTCCTCTGGAAGTATATCATTGTGACTCATGTGTTTAAACATTCTGCAGTAAATTATTCATTCTCAGATTTTCATATCTTTGACCAGAAGAGCTTCTTTGAATTTTGAAGTGTGACACAACCCCCATGATATCTTTAATAGCTTCCTTGTTTACATATGATCAGCATATTACAGTTTTTTGCTTTTTGTTTTTTGTTGTTTTTTTTTTTTTGAGACAGGGTCTATGTAGTTGAGACTGACCTGGAACTCACTAGTAGCCCAGGCTGGTTTCGAACTCACCGAGGTCCTCCTGCCTCAGCCTTCCAAGTGCTGGGATTACAGGTGTGCACCACCACGCCCGGCCTTAGTTTTTTAAAAACATTTTCTAATCCACAGTCCCCATTTATCACTTCTTCTAGTAGCCTTGGTTCCTTTAGAGAGAAATGTTATTTAAACTGCCCTGGTTCCATTAAGAGAGAAATGTTATTCAGGTATGATAGTCCAGAGTAGCGGCAGCAAACACATTCTGCAGCAGGCTGTATCATTGAAAAGGTTTGCCATCATGAGTCTAGAATTTATTCTTCCTGGTTTAGGTCTTTAATAGATTATACTAGATAATAAATTTATTAATACTCAAAAATGAATTATGTAAATATCTGCTACTGACAGAGTTACAAGTTTTTTTAGCTTTACTGTATCATATAGTGGACCCTTGAGTTACAACTGACCCCTCATATGAACAATTTGGGTTATGTCCAGAATTTGCTTTAACTTATGACCAAATTCTTGAGTTACCCGAATTCTAGTCTATCCTGTGTGGGGTTAATTGAGAAATCTTGGGCCAATGTCTAAGGACACTGAGATCTGCCTGGAATAAAGTGTGACTTAAAATTATACTGGAGGGACTTTGAAGGCTGTGTAGAGGAGGCTGAACCTTCAACTGACTCTGTGGTTGATGATATTGTCACCACAGCAGAGTCCACAGGACTGCAGGTACACAGTAGTGATGTTGAAGAACTGTTGGAGGAATACTGAGCTTCAGCAACTTCTGGCTCAGCAACAGAGAATGGCAACTGAGGAGCTTTCTGAAAAGGAAGGGGAGTATTAAAATGACTACAGCAAGGTTTCTTCTGAAATAAAGGAAATCCTAAAAAAATGGACAGAGTTACAAACATTTGGAGAGAAGAACCATCCAGACAGAGAAAAGGCCAATTGTTGCATTCACTTGCTTAATGACAATGTCATGTCACAATACAGAACAGGGTTAAAGAAAGACAGAAACAGACAATGTAGACTAGTTTTTAGTTCTGAAAAGGCTGAAACCTAGTGAGCCACAAGCAGGCCCTAATGGGCTACAGACTCTCTCATGAAGAAAAAGGACACCAGAGAGCCAGATTCTGATGTTCTTATGGAAGCTTTCCAAACAATAACCACCTTCCATTTCATCCTCCCTTCCTGTCCTGTAAGCCAAAGATGCAAACTTGAATGGTGAGTACAGTACGAAATTATTGTTTCTGATAAACTAGGCATATTTTATAACTTTTTGGTGAATATACTAAGAAAATTATTGGTGTTTCTGATAAATAATGCACATTATACAACCCTTTTTTATTATGAAAAGGTTAAGGAGTGTTTTGAGAGGTCTGGAATGCATTATGGCTATTTCCATTATTTCTTATGGGAAAATTATCTTGACTTACAACCAACCCTTGCTAATGTTCTATGCAGAGTGCACACAATCATTTGGGAAGAAACAACAGTCAACATTATCACCAACTTGTTTACTGAAAACAGTTAAGTTTTTTTTGTAGTTCTTTTTACTCTGAATCAGAGTACTATGTTTTAGGTTATTCTGAATAATTGTCCCACTTACATTTTTACTAATCTTTAATTTTATTTTTATTGAATTTCATTTAAAAATTGTATTAACATATTCCAAAGTCAAATATACAAAGCAAGTTAATTTCAAATAAGTCTAGCTTTAATTTGTCATTCAACCTTATTTGCCCTAACCCCCATACATAGGTAAGTATATTCTTTTTTTTTTTTTAATTTGGGAGTTGAACCCAGGGCCTCATGCATGCTATGTAAGCACTCTACCATTGAACAACATCCCTAGCATAGTAAACATTTCCTTCAAACCCATGATCTAAACTGGGTGTGGTAGTGAACATTGGTAATCTCAGCACTCGAAAGGTAAGAGGATTGCAGCAAATTCAAGTCCAGCATAGGCTACATATATACTAAGTTCAAGGCCAGCCTGAAGCACATAGCAAGATCCTACCTCAAAATAAACATAGTTCCCAAAACATGAAAATCCTACAATTTGTTTTTCCATTTGTTACAATAATATATATATACATGCGACTTTCCCTCTTTCACAAAGTGTAGCACATTACACACTACTTCACCTTCTCCCTTTCACCTCCACTACATACTGGAGATTCACATTGTTTTTTATGCATGTTAGGTACTACCAAAAACCAACCCTTATTGGGACTATGCCATTATACATTACCCCAACAATTTATTAAAGCACCTTTTCTTGTGGGCTAACAAAGGATTTCAATAATCTTGGAATTTTGTCATCTGAGAGGCAATGTTTCTCAGTGTAATTTTTAATTTAAATTTCAGTAAATTTCAAGAAAATTGAGAGCTAACTACTTTGACTGTATTTCCAGGACATTTTCCTATAGTGCTGTTTGTCATTCTTTTTAGAAAATCATTATCTTATTACGGATATTAGACTTTTAGGATAATTCATAAATACCTTTACCTAGACTGTCATTCGTTTTGCTGTGGTGTTTTATTATGTCATCAAATTTATTATTATGTCCCCTAACTTTGTGTCACAGTACTGCCATTTTGAAACACTAGAATCGTGTTAGTACTTATCTTGTTTTTACATTTAAATCCATGACCCCTTTGGAATTTGTCCTGAAAGAGTACGAAGCTTGACAATTTCATCTTTTTCTGTACATTAGTAATCTCAATTCATTAACTACTGTCCATATACATTTAAATGTTTCTAGACTTTGTACTGTTTCATTTCTCTGTATACTACCAAAGTACCCTACTGTTTTTTACTACAGAGGTTTTATAATACATTTAAATATCTGAAAGAGCTACGTGCTTCCAGGGCTCCCCCATTAAGGGTTTTAATGGCTATTCTGGTTCAAACAAATATAATAGTGTACTCTAGGAAAAAAAAAGCTGGTAGTATCTGTTTATTGGGATTTGTTAAATTAGAAATAAGGGGGGAAGCCAGGTGTGGTGGCACACATCTGTAATCCCAGCACTCGGTAGGCTGAGACAGGAGAATCGCTGTGAGTTCGAGACCAGCCTGGGCTACATAGTGAGTTCCAGGTCAGTCTCAACTACATAGTGAGACACTGTCTCAAAAAACCAAAAAATAAATAAAAATAAATAAATAAATAAGGGGGGAAAACCACACATACATTGTTCTCTTATCCAAGGGTATATGTTTCTATATATTCAAATCTACACTCTTTCCTTAAGAGTTTTACCATCATTATAGTGTAGATTTTTAGTATGTTGTAAAACAGATTCATCTTGTTCACTATTAGTTTTATAACTTCAGTGGGGAGAAAGGGCATTCTATCTTATAATTTTATTTATGTACTGGATTGCTTACTT